CACGAAAAACGCTTGTTTGTTGTCCAAAAAAGTGTATTTTAGTTCATTGACGTCTTTTCATGGAAAACTCTTGTTTTTTGCTCAAACACACTGCTTTTAGGTAGTTTTAGTTCTTGTACTGGAAACACTCCGTTTATAGTCAAATGCAGTGTATTTTAGTAATTTTACTTCTCTCACGGAAATGCTTTTTTCTCCTAAAAATGCTGTTTTTAGTTAGTTTTACTTCTGGTGAAAACACTCAATTTTGAATGAAAACAGTGGAATTTGTTATGTTTACTTCTTTTCACGGAATACGCTTGTTTTTTGCACAAAGCTGTGCATTTTAGTTCATTCTAATTTTTCACGAAAAACGCTTGTTTTCTGCTCAAACACACTGTTTTTAGTTAGTTTTACTTTTAGTACGGGAAACATCAGTTTCTGCTCAAAAACAGTGTATTTTAGTAAGTTTTACGTTTATCACGGAAACGCTTGTCTTCTGCAAAAAACGCTGTTTATAGTTAGTTTTACTTCCTGCACTGGAAACACTCAGTTTTTACTCAAAAACAGTGTATATTTGTAAGTTTTACTTCTCTCACGGAAAATGTTTTTTTTTCTCCCAAAAATGCTGTTTTTGGTTAATTTTGCTTCTTCTAGTGAAAACACTCAATTTTGAATGAAAACAATGGAATTAGTTAGTTTAACTTCTTTTCACGGAATTCGCTTGTTTTTTGCACAAGATAGTGCATTTTAGTTCATTCTATTTTTTCACGAAAAACGCTTGTTTTCTGCTCAAACATACTGTTTTTAGTTAGTTTTACTTTTAGTACGGGAAACATCAGTTTCTGCTCAAAAACAGGGTATTTTAGTAAGTTATACTTTTACCACGGAAACGCTTGTTTTCTGCTAAGTCCTTGTTTCTAGTTACTTTTCTTCTTGCACTGGAAACACTCAGTTTTTACTCAAAAACAGTGAATTTTAGTGTTTTACTTTTCTCACGGAAAATTATTTTTTTCTCCTAAAAATGCTGTTTTTAGTTAGTTTTACTTCTTCTTGTGATAACACTTCGTTCGTTTTACTTTTTTTCACAGAATACGCTTGTTTTCTGCACAAAGTAGTGCATTTTAGTTAATTCTATTTTTTTCACGAAAAACGCTTGTTTTCTGCTCCAAAAAGTGTATTTTAGTTCCCAGACGACTTTTCACGGAAAAACGCTTGTTTTCTGCTCAAACACACTGCTTTTAGTTAGTTTTACTTCTTGTGCTGGAAACATTCAGTTTTTACTCAAAAAATAATGTATTTTAGTAAGTTTTTCTTCTCCCACGGAAACTTATGTTTTTTTACTAAAACGTTGTTTATAGTTAGTTTTACTTCTTCTAGTGAAAACAATCAATTTTGAACGACGACAGAGGACAGAGTCACGCTCGTCTTCCCTCAGGTCGGAAGGGAGAGAGACTTCCCTTCCGACCCCAGCATCACCAGCTAAGCAGAGGCTCACATAGGAGACAGTCCAGAAACACCTGCTGGGCCTCCCTCAGGTCACGTGAGTCTTTGTCAGAGCTATCCGGGTCCATGACAAAAAACCCACTGAACAAAATCCCCTTGGACAAAAACCCCAGGACAAAATCCCCACCGGACAAAAAACCCACCGGACAAAACCCCTAGGACAAAAACTCCTAACCAAACGAGCTATCTAGCTTCCGACGGTATTCAAAGACTGCTTAAGGAAAACTGAATTAGGGTGAGTTACTTACGGTAGAAAGTGTATTCATTTCATGTTTGTGTCCGAGAGTCAATGTCTAGTAACGTAAATATAATGTTCTAGTAACTTCGATATAATATTGATATTAATGTGTCCATGCCATTCAGTTAATTAATAAATAGTTGTATTGAAAATGGTGTTTGAGGAGATGTCCCCAAAGATAATATAAGTGTAAATAACTAACCGGCCATGCTACAAAAACCTCCTCTTTACATTCCTACAACTATAAAAATTCTATCTATATGTATAACTTCTATGCGAGTTTTTGACTCATTGTAGGGGTGTGTTGGGATGGTGGGGAGAAGGGTGTGTTGGTTTGGTGGGGAGAAGTATGTGTTGGGGTGGTGAGGAGAAAGGTGTGTTGGGGTGGTGGGGAGAAGGGTGTGTTGGGGGTGGTGGGGAGAATGGTGTATTGGGATGGTGGGGAGAAGGGTGTGTTGGTGGTGGGGAGAGGGGTGTTGGGGGTGGTGGGGAGGGGTGTGTTGGGGTGGTGGGGAGAGGGGTGTGTGTGGGTGGTGGGGAGAGGGGTGTGTTGGGGTGGTGGGGAGAGGGTGTGTTGGGATGGTGGGGAGAGGGTGTTGGGGTGGGGTGGGGGTGGTGGGGAGAGGGGTGTGTTGGGGTGGTGGGGAGAAGAGTGTATTGATGTGTGTTGTGTGTTGGGGTGGTGGGGAGAAAGGTGTGTTGGGGTGGTGGAGAGAGGGGTGTATGTGTTGGTGGTGGGGAGAGGGATGTGTTTGTTGGGGGTGGGGAGAGGGATATGTATGAGAGTTGTGGGGAGATGGATGTGAGGTGGTGGTGGTGGGGAATAGGATATGTGTCTTGGTGGAGGGGAGAAGGATTGTGTGTCGGTGGTGGGGATAGGATGTGTGTTTTGGTGGTGGGAGAGGGATGTGTGTGTGGTGGTGGGAGAGGGATGTGTTGGGGTGGTGGGGAGAGGGTGTGTGGGGTGGTGGGGAGAGGTGGGGTGGTGGGATGTGTTGGGGTGGTGGGGAGAGGGGTGTGGGGTGGTGGGGAGAGGGGTGTGTGGGGGTGGTGGGGAGAGGGGTGTGTTGGGGTGGTGGGGAGAGGGTGTTGGGGTGGTGGGGGAGAGGGTGTGTTGGGGTGGTGGGGAGGGGTGTGTTGGGGTGGTGTATGGAGAGAGGGGTGTATGTGTTGGGTGGTGGGTGAGAGGATGTGGCTTGAGGGTGATGGGGAGGAGGCAGTGCCGGTGATGGGGAGAGGGATGTATTTGTTGGGGGTGTGGAGATGTGGGATATGCAAGGAGGAGCTGTGGGGAGATGGATGAGGTGGTGGTGGTGTGGAATAGTGATATGCTCTTGGGTGGAGGGAGAAGGGATCAGTGTCTGCGGTATAGGACATGTGTCAGTGCGGGGAGAGGGATGTGTGTGTTGGTGGTGGGGAGAGGGATGTGTGTAAGGTTGATGGGGAAAGGGATGTGTGTGTTGGTGGTGGGGAGAGGGATGTAAGGTTGATGGGGAGAGGGATGTGTGTGAAGGCGGTGGGGAGAGGGAAATGTGTGAGGGTGATGGGAAGAAACGATATGTGTGCTGTGGTGGGGAGAGTAGTTGATCTTTACTTTACGCTTACAGCGGCTACTTCTATTGTGCACCCCCACACTCGTCCTGTGAGTGGTAGCGCAAAAGGATAACAGAGTAGAGTTTACAACGGATCATACATCTACCCCAAGTTGTCAGGATATGGCACTGGAATCGTTGCCATTTGGCCATTAAATTGCATTATTTGTTTAGT